GCCGTACCGGATCGCCCGACGATTTGTGAATCATACCCCCAGCTGGGTACCCTGAAAACACACGCCCCACTTGTACCCAAGGCACAAGCAGGACCAACCCACTACCCTCCTGTCACAGGGTCCAGATCCCCGTCCAAACTGGGACTCCAAGCCCTCGCCCCTAAGTTCTGGACTCAGTGCGGTGCAAGGACCTCCTAAACCAAAAAACCACCATGACAGTCGGTCCGGAAAGAGCTGGAACCCATGACAAGAGAGTAACAAGTCTTTCAAGCGCCCATACCTAAGTATGTGCTCGGGATAATAAGTCTGTGACTGGCCTAGAGCCTTATGCAACGGTCGGTCCTTAGCCCGACACTTATTGGGGAAAGAAGTGTAAACAAGCTATGCCCTGCCATATAGGACACAACCTCTTATACCCACCAATACCCAAACCATATCCATGCCCGGTCACCATTTTCCTTTCCACCATTTATATTTTCCAAGTGATAATAATGCGTAATATATTTCCTATATCTCGCGAGCGATAGGAAATCACTCGATTTCTACCGGAGTCCTGTAGCATAGCAATCTACACGATCCTATCATACTAGTAAGACTCATAGGATAAAGATATATATATGCAAGTGGGTTTCAATCAATTCCTTAAAACTTAATGCACAAATATAATTTAAAGTGCAGCAAAAATAGGGGTTATGCTGCAAGGGCTTTGTCAGGTAAGATATAGATTAAAAAGTTAGTATTTGCATCTTCAAATCATCCAACATCATCTGAATAGAAAGCTCATTGCATCATCTCCTAGAAAGAACACCATTACACCATCTTTGTATTCCCCATCATCCTTCAATTGATCCGTTGATTCATCATTGTACCTATATGATGTACATTGATGCAAATGCATAAATGTAAATAATCAACGACAGCTGAAATGCTTAGAAACCCGATCACGCCTCACAAGCTAACGAGATAGCTCTAACACTGGTCTACGTGTCCATGTTGTCGAATATGGCGTTATTTTCCAACAAATATTTTAGTTATACAAAACCCAAGGTGTTTCTTTATTTCATTCTATCGATTTAATCATTATTCGAAATAGGGCATCACTATCTATCTAGCAAACTAATTATACTAGAGCAACAAAAATTACAGTGAGCAACTAATAATATTAGTAATTTACTGTAAAATTTTTAGAATCAACACTATCACCGATTTATCACGGAAATTCCTACAAGTTCACCCTTTTAACACTATTAAGCATGTTAAAATAATTAGAGCAACCCTAAAATAGCACCAACTAGATGAACCAATTATGCTAATAGATATATCATGATTTTAGAAACTTAACAAAATTGGTTTCACAATTTTTGGATTCCTCTACTATTTTATATTGATTTTACAAATTAACTAGAAACATATATTAGAAAAGCATTTAGAAAAATGGAAAGACCGGCAGCAACCAAATCGGCCTAGCGGCCCGTGATAATGGCGTGCAGCCCCAAGCATAGCGTGTAACACGTGGCCCCAACAAGACGCGAATCCTGTCCGGCCCTAAGGCGGGTGTCATAATGAACAATGGCCGGGGCGGCGAGACACAAGCCGGTCCAAAGTGGCGACCAACGGCCCAGGCCATGGCCCGTGGCACGACGAGCCCAGGTTGGGCACGCGAGCGGCCCACCAACCAGCCCACGTGGCCAAGGCAAGCCGGCCCAGCGCGGGCAGGTGGCGTGGCACATTTGCAAATCGGCCCCTTTATTTTCCTTAAACTAACCCGCGGTACTCTAGACACCATTTAACCCTATTAACATGAGTCACGTATTGTGCAATGAGGACCCCATATTAGTTTCTATTCGCATTAAGGTCCTTCTTCTACCTTTTCACGAGCAAAAAGGAGAGAACGCGTCGAGGCCTCACCGACGGTCGGTCCGGCAGGGAAGGGCACCACGGCGACGACAGAACGGCCAGCTCCCAACGCGGGTCCCTCCGTGACCCCAAGGCGGCCGCGGCATGGCCGGAGGCGGTGCAGTGTCGGGACCACGCACCATGGTGGTTGTAGAGTAGAGGAGCGCCGGGCGAGATCGATTCGGCGGGGTGTGTACCGTGCGCATCGGCCTTACCTGCATACTGGCCCCAAAGACGGCTGCGTTAAGCTTATGACGGCTCGGCCATGGCCGCTGGTGGCGCCCAACCCCTGTCGTCGCGTTGCAGTGGCGGTAGCTACTAGCTCGGCACGGCCATGGCCTCTTGATGGGCGGCGAAGTCGCCTGACCGGACAGCCTGAGGCGGCACAGGCGGTGCAGAGGGCACGCGAGGTGGGCTGCGGTGGTGGTGGGCTCGGGCTCGCAATAGACGGCGAGGGTGAAATGGCTCGGTAGCAGGGTGCATCGAGCGTGGCACAAAAGGTGGAGGCAGCAGCGTCTTTTTGAGCTACGGTGTCTGAAGGAAGGTAGTGAGAACACGGCCGCTCCGGAGTATATAGAAGCGTGGCGGGCGGTAAAAAGCGAAGAGCGGCTAGGCCTTAGCGGCAGAGAGAAAAAAGGAGGAGGAGAAGGAGGGACGGTGGCCCGCGGCGGACGCTCGTGGGTGGGGCTCCTCCTCCTCGCAAGACAACCGGAAAGGAGAGGGAGGGAAAAGCAACGCGAGGCTCGGCTCCACTTGAACACGAACAAAGGGCGGAACAAGGATAAGACCGCTGGCAAAGCAAAGACAAGGAAGGCGAGCAAAGGCGTTAGAGGAGAAAAGGGAGGAGACAACGCGAGGTAGGCAACGTCGTGACGCGCGGCAGAGTACACGAACACGAGGCGGGGACGGGATGGCACGTCATGGCGGCACCAAGCGCAATGCTTGGCGCACATGGAAGTGAAAGAACACGACGTGGCAGGGACATAACCACGTGCTCTCCTGGGAAAAATTACAAGCAAAACAGTACACGGCAGCAACAGGGCGTGGCTGCCGGGCATTCCTGTGTCGAGCAAAAAGCCAAGAAATGGGCCCTACCTTACGTACAAAATATTTCCTCCACATATCACTCTCATTCCTATTTATTTTATTTTAAGTTTTAACTCGATTAACTTCCACCAAAACTTATTTCACGCAAAAGTTCGCACCTCGCACTAACCCATAGCGACAGAATATTTAAGCACTATTTAATTACTTTGCTCAATATAGTTTGCCAAAAATGGCATTTTAACATGGGCTCAAATATTTTAAATTTTAAAATCCAAGAAACTCGTTCTAGGAATTTTTCTTAGGCCTAATCGGGGTGCTAAACAAGCTCATTACACCAGGGGTGCTACACCTTCTTCTCCTGCTTGCGATTTGGGCACTCCCGTGCCCAATGACCCATCTTCCCGCAGCGCCGGTAGACGTTGGGGTTGACCTCCTTCTTCTTCTCTAAAGAAACCTTGCCGCGGCGCTTGCCATCGCCACCGCGGCTGGAGAAGGCTACCCCGGAGTTCCTCCGAGCAGCCCACTCCTCCTCTGTCAGCAGCAGTTTGCCGCTGTCCTTGGTTGCTGTCGCCTGCTCCAGGCGCTCGTCCACTGCCCACGGATAGCCTGTCACATCCTCAATGGTGAGGGTGGACAAGTCCAGCATCGTCTCTATGGAGAGAGCGATCTGGGTGTACTTTGCCGGCACGGAGTGAAGGTACTTGGAGACCGTCTCCTCTTCGTCGATGGTGACGCCACGTCTCTTCAGCTTGCTGATGAGCGTCTGCAGACAGAGGGAGAAATCCTCTACCGTTTTACCATCCTTGAACTTGAGGATGGCGTACTACTGCTTTAGAAGCTGGGCCGTCGCATTCTTTGCGTGGTCGGAACCGACGTGCGTCGCCGCAATAGCCTTCCACGTCTCCTTAGCAGAGCTCTTCGCCCCCAATGGCTCAATGTACTCCGCCGGTACAGCAGCAAGGATAGCCTCCAACGCTGACATATCATCTTTCTTATTTTCGGTGCCTCTGTCAACAGCATTCCAGAGCCGTCGGGCTCTGAGCTTGACATTCATGGTCACCGACCACTCTCCATAGTTGGTGCGAGTAAGCGTCGGCCAACTGGTGCCGCTGACCTCCCGCACCGTGCGAACAACGACCTCCTGTCATGGCTGGGCAGCCACAACAGTGTCACTGCTGTCGTCCATCTTCGAACCGTCCGTCATCGCCAGTGGTTAGTCCGGCGACGGCGCTTGTACAACTCCGATACCACTTGTTGGCCCACACAGAATCACCGGCTCAGACGAGTCGACCACTCACCAGTCTTGCCGAGCATGGCCGACCATGACAGACGTTGTCCGACCACACATTATGGTTAGAGGTAGAAGAAGAGAGGAAGAACAGAGCATACACACAAAGGCACCAGCGTTGGCCGGAGCTCTGTATAGCAGATGGCAAATCTGAACTCTATTTACTGAGTTGCAGTGGCAAACTATTTATACAACTCTATCTATCTAGTTCTAGTACAACTGTCCTGCTACAACAGTGACTAGATAACACAATGAGGACGACTGCACGCGTCTGTCCTGTTGTGGCTACTGATGAAAGGAGGCGAGATGAGCCGTTCGGCGCCTGCCTTGCACAACGGCTACAACACCATAGCATGAAGCCTTTTCGACGTCGTCTTCCCTTGCTGTGTGTTCACATAAGGAAGCGATAGATTATCTAATAGTGTGCACTCAGAGTGAAGCCATCAAGAACGACCTCGAGCTGGTACGTCGTCGACTCCATCACCATGCATGGAGAGCATGCATGTTGGTTGTCTGATTCGAGCACCGGCAGTCTGCCATGACATGAATACTGGCTCTGCATGCATGCAGGTGCTGCTAACGACACCAGCTACACCGGAGGAGAGGATGAAGGAGATCACAAAAGCTTCCGAAGGCTTTGTTTACCTTGTATGTGCCTGCCATACATGAAATTAAAGAACTCCTAGCGTTTGGCTGTTTGATGAAGTTTAGCTTGTGCCTTCGTATTTGCTCATGACATTCATGGAGTATTTCACTGTCGTCGTCGCAGGTGAGTGTCAATGGAGTTACAGGTTCCCGTGCAGACGTGAACACGCGTGTCGAGTCTCTCATCCAGGAGGTTAAACAGGTACACTAATAAAGGAAATAAAAATGCATCCTTTTCTTAGTACGTAACCGACAGAGACACCGCGCAACATGATAACATATCATGCTGGTGTCAGTCACTGATGAGCTTGTCTTGCTGCTTGCAATCAGGTCACTGATAAACCTGTGGCTGTTGGATTTGGCATCTCCAAGCCTGAGAATGTAAAACAGGTACGGTATGTCGATTTTTTTAATTACTGCCTTTGATTTACTTATTTATTATGGTCTGGCTGATTTTATCGCAAAATTAAATTCACCATGTTTCCCCTTTCACTGAACAGATATTGCAGACTGGGGTGCGGATGGAGTGATCATTGGGAGTGCAATTAATGGTGAAGCAGCTGGGTGAAGCAACATCTCCCAAAGAAGGGCTCAAAAGGCTAAAGGAATATGCAAGGAGCATGAAGAATGCACTGCCATGATCATGCAGATATATAGGACTTAATTATATTATTAAGGGTACATGACTAGCACATAAATAAATTGGTTTTTGATGACGCTCTCTGATCAGTTAACTGACTTTTCTCTCGGTCGATCTCTAGGCAACAAACAGCTGATTACTTAGTTTGAATTCATCGCCGTGTACGTGTCCCCTTTTTATTCATTGTCCTGTAAGTACGTGGATGAAAAAATACTGAAGATGTTTGGTTGACTCTTCGGCTGAGGGTGGCAGGTGGGCCGGCGTGAGATGCATTACACCTAGCCAAGATGGCCATTGAATTGAATCTCATTTGAACGTATATCCAGTGACCATTGGGCCAAGCTGAAAGTGTATTTATGCATTCGTTGATATGCAAGCTACACCTACTCAACACGTAACCAAATGGCTACATCTATGTATTATAGAGGACAAGGGTGGATAAGATATAACCATTCTTGGATTTCATGATATGAATATCCATGTTGCTTGGTTGCATTGACGAGGCGAACCATTTTTTCATTTGGTTAGATAGATGAGAGTGGATAGGATGAAAACACTTGACTAATTATATTTATATTATTTTAAAAACAATTAGTTGTACATTAATAAATATGCACTAACACTAATTTTATCAGATAATCCCTAATTATAAATAAAATATGTTAATTAGCCCCACTATTATCCTAATTGGCATACAAAACTTGCACTAATCAATATATTATTGTCACTTATCAACATTAATCTTGCCATCATAATTACTAAGCAATAATATAACAAACCAATAATCCTTAATTATTTACTAATAACAAAGGCTAGAAAAATGGATGAGCTCGTTAGGTGTTTTTTTTAGCAGAGATATCCAACATTTGAGAGAATATTCCCACGTTAGAGATAACCATATCAGACCCACCTACGAACCAAAGACCACTTGTCCATGGAAGCCATCTTCCATCCATAAATATCCATCAACCCAAACGCACTCTAAATAGATCCACTCAGCCATGCAGGCAATCAAACACACAATGACCTGTGCTGGTGGAGTCCACTGCATCGTTTTGGAACTCGTCACGCTCCACACACACTACGGCACAGATGATTTAAGAGATGATCAAAATCGATTTTCATAAGCAGTTTTCGAAATCGCTACAATGCCGGTACTTATAGAAGTAAGGCATAGCTCCCCGGACAACAAAAATAAATATTAAATTGCGCCAAAACATAGAAAAAAATCGTGGCATTGCAAGCTTGAATCTTTTTTTTTCTTACAATAACATCCACAAGGATTTGAACCCGTGATCTCTTGCTTGGCAGGAGCTCATCCTACGTCCGCACCATAGTCAGTTGTAATTAAGTATAAGATGTTATTCTTTTATTTATATTAATTTTTACAATTTTATTTGAATATTTTGGTGACTATGGTCTCATATTAGAAAAAAGTCTAAACTAAAGAGTTTTAGATCATAACTTTGACATTCGAGGCTGTTTGAAAATTTTAAAATTTTGAATTTCAAACTCTGAGAACTTAAAATGAAATCTAGGTTCTTAAATAGTCTCCAATAAAAAAAACTCGTGAACTACAAAGTGTTTTTAGATCTTGTCATGCTTTACAATCAAGACTTCCAATTTCATTTGAAAAATTATGAATTTAAACATTCGGATGCTATTTTTAATATTATGTAAATTTGTTCGGAAACTATCCTATGCAGAGACTGTTCGTAAGCTACAGTGCAGCACAATATTTATAGACGAGGTAATACTATATTAACGGCTCTTAGAAAAATAAGAAACTATAGTAAAAATTATATGCAGCATTGATGCGTAGTAAAGAGGCTAGTGAGCAGTGTTACTTGCGTAACAGTGTGCTGCTCAAATTAAGGGCCTCTTATTTGGCTGGGCTCTCCCAGCTCCAGCTCTCTCTCCTGTAGCGCGGGGCTAGGGAGCCACAGAAAAACAGCTCCACCTGCTCGTCTCTTGTGCTGAGGAGGAGCCAGAGCCCTTTATCGCAGCTACAGTTCGACACAGTGCAGCGAGAGCCGCAGCAGCCGCTGGGCAAGGAGCCCCTGCCAAAGACCGCCTAAAACTACAGGACATCACACCATCACATAATACATTTGCCAAAGACTGCCTAAAACTACAGGACATCACATAATACATTTTCGCGCATATGTTGCACGCGGCGACGCGCGTTTGACTGTCCTGCACCTGCCGCCAACCCTCCGGTGTCCATTCCGGAGTATAGCAACTGCTGCTGCTGGCACAGCCGCACAGCTGTAGCAGCAAGAAAAGTCATACTACTTCTAGAACCAATCATGTAGGGAACGTAGGTACTGTACAAGGAGTATACTCCCAGCCTGTGTTGCAAACTAGCAAGTGTTGGGTCGTTACTTTTGCTCGGCAGTGTCGTCAGAGCCAGTGATTCATATATACTTGTTTTTTAATTCAACTCCAACAAATAACTATCAAATGGAAGTCTCTACTCTTACTTCTCTCTTTTCCTCACATACTCTATATATTCTATCTATTTTGACACTACAATTTCAAACTATAGTGTTAGTAGTTAGTACAAACGATCCAAATTAAAATACCACAAGTAAAACCGAATTCAAACAAAATACCATCTGAAGACAAATAAAGTGTCCCATCACAACTATATTTTTAAAGAAAAAGTTCACCACATCAATAAAACAAGGTAGCTAGAGTTATGAATGGACGAAAGATGTTCAACAAAATCCTCTAGAACCCTTCCATCGTGTACTTGCCTGTCTTCAATCAATCTCCTTATGTATCCTAAGAAACTTCGATAAGAAAAGTGGGTTAAGACCAGTGGCGGAACTAGCAACTTTGATTAAGAGGGACCGGACAAACATGATGACACCTCGTATACGTGATAAATAAATATATATATATATATATATATATATATATATATATATATATATATATATATATATATATATATATATATATATATATATATATATATATATACGTCACAACATATTTTTCTATGCTTCTACATTTATAGTTAGCGTTCATAACCAAAAATCGCTATATTATGATAAAATATGAGTTAAAATGGTAAAATATGCTTCTACATTTGTAATATTAATAAGAATACTAAAAAACCTTTCACTGTTTTTTTTTGGGAGGGGGGGGCACGGCCCCTACTGATCCCCCTAGTTCCGCCATTGGTTAAGACGTTGGCACTCCTAGCACATCGCCACCATCCGGATTATAGCCATAGCCCCTGTCATCTACCACATCTCACTCATTCTCAATATCATCACATGTTGTGCATCATCACAATAACTGCCATGTGTATCAAGAGGTTGATTTTCTTGTTTCAAAGTCTAGCAGGGATTACTTCACCTAGAAATTCGAGTTTGCAAAATTCCAAATCTCTCTCTACATCCTTCTTCACAGTCATAGCTTCTGAGGTGTTGTGAAATGAGCTTTCTTGTTCCCCTGTGGATTTTGGTAGCTTCCCACCTGCTAGAGAGTATAGTACCCATGCTGTACTTTGTTGCTTTCACCATGTACTCCATCGAAGCTGAAGTCCCAGTATTTAACCGCCGGAAAAGGGGAGATGTGTAAAGAATGTTGATATTATTCAATGAGCTAGATAAACCAAATAAATAATCCTAAATCCACAAATCCTCAGATGCAACAGTTTCTAGTATCATGGTTGGTACATCCACATGCCCCCAAGTATTATATTGCCCTTTTCATGGCGTTGGGCAATTCTCTCATATCCAATGCAAAAAAAATCATTGCAACCAACCACTCTGGGTGTTTATAGCCAACAAACCTGGGTGTTGCTAGCAGGTCACTGGCAAACTTGTGGTCGTTGGATTTGGCATATTGACAATGACACCTCAACATGTAAAGCAGGTAAAAGGAAAAAAAAAGTTACTACCACCTTATTGTATCAAAAATAGTTTTTGATTTTTTTAATAACTTTTTTCATCTATATAAATTGTCCATGGAGGCAAGATTGTAGAGTGGGGCCGGGTGAAGGTGTGATCATTGGCAACGCGATGGTACGGCAGCTAGGCGAACCAATCTTCTCCCAGAGAACGGCCCCAGTGCAAACGGCTAGAGAAATACGCCAGGTGCATGAAGAGTGCCCTGCCAACTGCCATGATGTGTTGATAGGTAGCCGGATCAGTTAGTTAGATGGCGTAATAAAATATGGCAATCAGTAGACTGAATTTGGCGAAGCACTAAAAAGGCTGGTCTTTTGGTCTGACAGATCCATAGACACATGTATTGCTACTTGCTAGTAATTTTTTTTGGAGATTTCCTGGTAAAAATTTTGATTGAATGATCATATGTACTTCCTCCGTTCCAAATTATAAGTAGCTTTAACTTTTTTTTCATCCATTTTGGTATGTATCTAGACATATTATTATATCTGGATACATAGTAAAATGGATGTACCAAAAAAGTTAAAATGGCTTACAATTTAGAATGGACGAAGTATATAACTACTAGTCATTCGTAGCATGTACTGTACAGTAGAACAAGATGTAGCAGCTAGGACTATGAACTAGATTGCCTGG